GGATGTCAACATGTAGAAGAATAAAAATAGAACCATATCTATCCCATGAATAAAACTTAAGTACAAATGTATTAAAGATCTCAATATAAATTTAACCACACTGAACCTGATAGAAGAGATAGTGGGAAGTAGCTTTCAATGCGTGGCACAGGAGACCTAAATATGACCTCAGTCGCATAGTCACTGAGATTAACAATAAATGAATGGCACCTCCTGAAACTGAGAAGCTTCTGTAAAGCAAAGAACACAGTCATAAGACAAAAAGGCAACCTACTGAATGGGAAAAGATCTTTACCAGTCCCACATCAGACAAAGGACTCATCTCCAAAATATGTAAAGAACTCAAGAAATTAGACATCAAAATTCTAAATAACCCAATTTAAAAATGGGGTACTGAACTAAACAGAGAATTATCAACAGAAGAATCTCAAATGGCCAAAAGATATTTAAGAAAATGTTAAACATTCTTAGCCATCAGAGAAAAGCAAATCAAAGCAGTTCTGAGATACCTAATTTTAGACTACTCAGAATGGCTAAGATCAAAACCACTAATGATAGCATATGCTAGAGAGTGTGTGGAGTAAGGGGAACACTCAACCATTGCTGGTGGGAATACAAACTTGGGCAACCACTTTGAAAATCAGTATGACAGTTTCTCAGAAAATTGGGAATCAACCTACCTCAAGACACAGCAATACCACTCTTGGGCATATAACCAATAGATGCTTGATCATACTCAAAGACATTTGTTCAACTATGTTCATAACAGCATTATTTGTAATAGCCAGAACCTGGAAACAACCTAGATGCCCCTCAATCAAAGAGTGGATAAAGAAAATGTGGTACATTTACACATTAGAGTACTAGTCAGTGGTAAAAACAATGACATCTTGAATTTTGCATGCAAATGAATGGAACTAGAAAACAGCATCCTGAGTGAGGTAACCAAGACCGAAAAATATGAATATGGCATGTACTCACTCATAAGTGGATACTACCCATAAACAAAGGATATTGAGCCTATAGTTCTTGATCCTAGAGATGCCATGTAACAAGTTGAACCCCAAGAAAAAATATTTATCTCCACCTGGAAAGTGGAAATAGACAAGATCACCTGACAAAATTGGGAATATAGGTGTAGTGGGAGAAAAGAGAGTGGAAGGGGAAGAAGAGCGGGTGGGGGAGAGTAGAGGAAAATTTAAGGGAATGGAATAGTTGAGATGGAGGAAGGACAGAGATGAGAGCAAGGAAAGAGACATCTTGATTGAGTGAGCCATTATGGGGTCATCAAGAAACCCGGCACTGGAGAAATTCCCAGGAATCCACAAGGATGACCCCAGTTAAGACCCTAAGCAATAGATGAGAGGGTACCTGAACTGGTCTTGCCCTGTAGTCAGACTAATGAATATCTTAAACATCACCATAGAGCCTTCATTCAGCAACTGATGGAAACAGAAGCTGAGACCCAGATCAGAGCACTGGACTGAGCTCCGTGCTTGTTTCTGCTACAGCCTGGTACAATAGCCTGAGGGGTCTATATTACTTTAAAATGGTAATTTCTCAACCTGCCTAAAAGAAGCTCAGGCGCCAAGGCCCATCTACCCTGTCTGACACTGCCTTACACCCTCGACCACCTGCCTGAGGAGAAGCTCTCACAGGCGCCAGTTTCCCCAGCCCCCTCTGAGTGGGAGGAGTTTTTCTTTATTGGGGCCAAAAGTATTTAACCCTGGATTAAGTTGAATAAATTGGGCATTCTCTTCTTGAGGATGACTTGAACTCTGTATCTGTGTGTGCGTCTTGTGTTTTAACCTCTAGGACAATATAGAACTCGTGGGAGGTGGGTGGCGTTGGAACGGCAACCCCCACACAAGATCTTACCTAATAAAATTGGTTGTTTCCTACCCTAAACATTGTAAACAAGATCTATTTAATAATATTATTTATAGATGATAAAAAAATAAACATTGAGACTATGAAAGTCTATCAAATGATTTACCAATTATTTTGCATAGGTAGGGTGATCTTCTTAAGTCTCCCATTCCTCTTTTGTTTGTCTGACACAGACCGTGTCGAATTATGTAACCCTGGCAGTCCTGAAACTTATATCATCCAGCCTCTTCTTTCTTGTATGCTGGTGATAAAGGTGTAAGCCACAATGATTGACTAACTTACACTTTATTACTCATAGTTTAAACACATTTCTTTAACTAAATGTGGGTTGCTGTTACTACATTGGGCAATGGTACTTGAAAAAAATTTGCTGACTGATGTTTATGCCTCACCTGGCCCCACAGCTGTTTAGTCCCAAATAAACACATAGAGGTCTACATTGATCATAAACTGGTTGGCCTTGAATTTCAGGATTCGTATTAATTAATTCTTCCATCTTACATTTACCCATTGTTCTTGTCTGTGTTAGCCACGTGACTTGGTATCTTTTTCGGCAAGGCAGTCACAACTTGCGTCCTCTACATCTGGGTGATGACTGAAGACTGAGTCTTTTCTCTTCCCAGAATTCTTCTGTTCTCATTGCCCCGCCTCTACTTCCTGCTTGCCTACTGGTTAATCAACATTTTATTAAAATACAATTGAAAGGGTACAGATCAGTGTCCCACCTCACTTCCCCCCACTTTTTTATGTAAAAAAAAATAGAAAAAAAAACCAACCCAAGAACTCTGATTCAAATCTCCTTTGGTCTTTTATGTAAAAAAAAAATAGAAAAAAAAAAACAACCCAATAACTCTGATTCAGATCTCTGTTGGTCAGCTTTTCTCCTGACCATTATCCAGAACAACTTATAACCAACATTGTAAAGAAAGACAAACATCCGTAATCCATTTTTTGGGAATGTGGATATAGTTTTCCAGGCTACTTGCTGCTGATTGGGGGCACTGATAATATTATGGGGACCTAAAAACAATTTAAGATTATGTCCAGTCCTGACTGAAAAATTTTGTGAGGCTTGATTATTTCAGCCAACAGAACTCAGAGGAAACTCCAGTAGAGGTTTTCTGAAATGTTGGATCATCTGGACCATCTGTTCTTATTGGAGATTCTTCAATGGGTGTTCCTTGAACAAACCTGTTTTTTCTTAGCCCAGAATGAATCCACAGCCTTTCATTTCCTGTAGAAACTAACAAAACTTCTTCTCCAAAGTAACTTATTCCAAGTATATTTCAGTAATTTTGACTTAAAATTTGAAATGAAGGCATTTTCAAAGTATTTATGTTGCTGTAATCCAGCAGCATTTTTAATCAAATATCTTTTAGCAGCTTTTGCTCCTTCCTCAGCCATCAAACAATTTAAATACAACACAATAGTACACAGTATCCAAGCTCTCCGTGTATTTTTCTTCTTTATATGGCTTTATTTTAATCTCTATTTTTTTATTTTAATTTTTAATTTTTGGCTTTTTGAGACAGGGTTTCTCAGTGTATCTTTGGCTGTCTTGCCACTCACTCTGTAAACCAGGCTGTCCTTGGATTCACAGAAATCTGCCTGCCTTTGCCTCTGAAGTGCTGGGATTAAAGGTGTGTGCCACCAGACCTTGAACTCACAGAGATCTGCCTGCCTCTTTCTCCCACACGTTGGGATTAAAGGTGTATGCCACCACACCCAGCTACTTTCTTTCTTTCATTTAAATTTTAAAGATTTTATTCTCTCTCTTTTTTCTCCCAAGCCTATATAAATTTTTGAACTGTAAACCACTTTGAGGCTTTTTTTTTTGGTCTGAATCCATCTTTACTTTATGTCTCTATTTTCTGACTACATGAGTCTTTAATTTGCTAAACTATTTGACAAGGATAAAGCCGTGGCTTTGATGTTTGGATCCAACCCATTCCTTAGCTTTCTGAGAGTCTAGCTTCATTATGGAGGTATGGCTGAAGCCATGTTTATTGCCACAACTCTATGGAGTTTCAATGTCCCTGACACCACCAAGAAGTATGCAAGAATTATGGCAATTCATAAGCAGCATTTTAGCGTTTGGTGGCAGGGCCTCTTAAAAGAGCTGCAAGGTTTCACAGATAAAGCTGAGTCAGGAAGCCTCTGTTAAATGAGCTGGGCTCATCTCTAGCAAAGAAGCAAACCCAAGAAATAGCTGCTACCAAGAAGCCATGCTTAGTGCTGTTATTTCATGTCTAGAATTACTTCCCAAGCTCTCTCATGTTTTCTGTGGATACAGTTGTACACACTTTGGGCACCATGTTTTGACTGAATTTGCATGCAGCCTCACCTAATGAGTGAGAAATTTTTATAAAAATCAGACCAACCAACACAGTCAAATTCCATTATCAATAGTGGCCTAACTGAACTTTGAGAATTTCATACCAGAAGTAATTCTGATTATTTACAGCTGTCAAGGATATGGAGTCTGCATGACCTTGTACTGATTAGATTTAGACATCTCATCCTGGTTGTGTGTCTACTCAGGGACTCAGTTACTGGGACAAAAACCGTTTGAATTCTTACTTGAATCTGTAATTATTCATTGGATCCATGGCCCAGAGTTGTTCGCTTGTCCAGCTTCAGCTGATTCATCAAGAAAGGTCATGTACTTTAAATATGCTTCCAAGAGAAGGTAGAGACCAGATTTTGAGTGCATATAGATTCCAGGAATTTTCCAAAACAAGCTGCAGGCAAAATACCCTGAGAAGTTGGGTAAAGAACAACACACTCTGAGTTCCATGAGCCTGGGTAAAGAGTTTATGCAAGAATTCTAGGTGCAGAGCTCCACCCTAGAATGGGCGTGGCATGCCAAACTCTAGTCTCTGAAGCCCTGCCCACTTCTGGGCAAGCTTTATAAAAGAAGAGTAGAGTGCTGAGGAGTGAGTTCTTTCCTCCCACTCCTCATTCAACAAAGCCCCTGAAGGTGGGAAGCCCTAAATTCCAGCTGACATTTTCAGTCTAGTTGGGGCTACCATCAAGCAGCTGTCTGTCTCATATATTTGAGTTTCCACAAGGACCTTAAGCTCTAAAGACTAAAAATATACTTCATCAAGATGTCCTCCTTTCCTAAAACACCTGAGGAAATAGTCAAGTTCTTCCAGGGCTTTATTGAAGCTTATAAGGAACAGAACAAAATCCCATGTGATTTTCAGTGGGGACCCTGCATTCCTCAGCCTGACACGGATAAGATGTTCTATGGAAATCAGATGATAACACCTGATGGACATCAGGCATTTCATGAATATCGGATGAAAGTTCCCCAAGACCAGATAAACCATTATGGTCAGCTGACATCTTTTAGTGGTGAGAATATAGGCAGAAATCCCATGAAAATCCAGGGTAGTAAATACAGACTCAGTGGGTATCAGAGGACAATTTACAGAGCTGACCAGAATCTCTGCATCGATCTTCAGATGACGAGTCAAGTTGGTGGCCAACCTCTCTGTGACTGTCTAATTCCAACTCCTCAATGTTACACAATTTATCTAGAGAGCATGAAGATAAAATGCAGTGAAGACAACCTGTTTCAGTATCCAGAAGCAACTCCCAGTTGTGAAGACAATTACTTAGGTCAGGTGAAGACCACTTCAGTAGATGAGAAGGTCTGCTCAGGTCAGAATCCATCACCCAACTGTTGAAGGAAGCCACAGTCTTCAGTTGCCTTTATTTAGTAACCCAACACCATATGTGGATCAATCTACATATCCTTCCTCTTGCTTTGTGAAGCAAAGTCAACCCTTGGAGAGCTTTTCAGTTTCATTTTCAGTCCAGGGACAACTTCCACAAGAGAAGTCAGACCTGGAGACCCAGAGCCATGTGACTCAAAAGTCTTCCACTTTTAGGTTCTTCTGTACCTATCAGGATTGTGGTAAATCTTACATAAAATCTTTCCACCTCAAAGACCATATGAAGAAACACACTGGGGAGAAGGCCTATGTGTGTAATAAGACTGGATGCAATTGGAAATTTTACCACTTTGTAGATCTCCTACGACACAAAAGAAAGCACAGTGGGGATTATCTTCACCCTTATGCCACGTGCAATAAGAATTTTTCCAAATTATATTATCTCAAGCAGCATCAGAGGGTGTGTACTTGAGACTTATCGAGCCTGATTGTCCACAAGCAATATCTTACCTAATAAAATTGTATTGTTTCCTACCCAAAACAACATCAACAACTGTTTGCTAATGTTGCTTGTAGATGATAAGAAAATAAACATTGAGAATATGATCCTATATCAAATAATTTAAGAATAATTATTTTGTCTAGGTAGGGAGATCTTCTTAAGTTTACTTTTACTTTCTTTTATTGTTAGAGACAGTATCTAGTTATGTAACTCTGGCAGTTCTGGATCTCAGAACTGGGATTAAAGGTTTTTACTGGGAGTATAAATGTATTTCTCTGACTAAATTTGGTTTCCTGTTACTAATTTGGAAAATGGCGCTAGAAAAATTATATTAAGAGATCACTAAAAGTATAATTCCACAATGAAACAGGTTAAATATTTCTCCAAACATCTTTCCTTGCCTTTTGATATTCTAATATTTTTTAGTTACATTACCAGCTCATATTCCATGTCAAATTGCAGAAGTGAGGATTTAATTGAGATGAGTGTTATCTGTATCATTTAGGAATGTGGTTGAGCAGATATTTGTGTTTTTTTTTTACCTCCATTTCTCTTGGTGATGTCAATTAAGATTCTATCATAGGGCATTGGGATAGATGGGAATGGGAGGGTGTGGGAGAAGAGACTGATTGGTACATTAAATAAAGGAAAAATGTGACAAGTAAAAATGAAAGAAAAATGTATAAACTTGATAAGATGGTCAAATATTGTCAGAATATTTAGCCTTTCTCTTCATAAGAAGCACTGAAAGGGCTGGGGATGGAGCCTGCTCAAAGAACTGGCTTTGCAGGTGTGAGGAGGCCCTGAGTTCTATGCCTGGCATGGGAGGAGGAATGGGGCAAGGATGGAATGAAGAGAATGGAAGAGATGAAAAGAAGAAAGGAGTAAGATGTCTGCTGCTGTGAGGTACACATTAACAGAAGAGCTGTGCCACAATGAAACACTCTGAGACCCTTGAAAAATAAACTGATTTCTGTTTACAAGATTCAATCACAAGATATAATACTTAAATGTAACTCAATGGACTTGGCCATCTCATCTAAGAATATGATGCCTTTGTGGTATTAAGAGGGATAGTTCTATTATGTTTAGGCATAACTCTGAAATGCAAATTGTTTCATTTGGAAAGTAAACATGGAATGAGTGGATAGCTTTTGTGTCATGTTTACAAATGGTATTATACTTGGTAACTCTAGTTACCAACCTGACCACATCTGGGTTCATTTACAAACCATAAGTGATAGGACACACCTGTGAAACATTTTTTGCTTAATTAAATCATTAGAAGTGGCAGATTCTATTTCTAATTTGGACCTGTGAAGTGGGAAGACACATCATCATACCAGCCATCTATACACCTCATTTATTTATGAGTATCTTTTTGTGTCATATAGGTGGGCACCAAGGACATTGAACATAGAACAATGGTATGAGTCTATACCCAATCCCAACTACTTGGATTACTTATTTCCTAATGGTGAAAGTCCCAGAACTTCACAAAAAGAGGGAAAGAGCTGCACAGTGTCATGCCACCAAAGACTGCCACAGTGTCAGGACAGCAGGTGAAATGTTTGGAGAGGTTTTATTAGAACATTTAGAAACGAATAGCCAATTAGGTGCTTTGTCAATAATGAACTTTTAAAGAATGGCCCTTGTAGTGATGATGGACACAGACCTGGGCACCTGGAATAGACCTGAATCTATTCCTCTTGAGACTGAGGTCACAAGTGTAAATTAAAGAGAGGCAGTCTCTGGTTGAATCTAACAGTCTTGGTGTAGTGGCTGGCTTCAAAAAGTTGTCAGATTTTACTCAAAATACAGGTGGAAAATAGTGAAAAATCAGGATGCAGAGGCAGAACTATTGGCGGCCACTTTGATCCTGAGAGAGAGAGCTTCAAAATCATCTGCAAATTCCATTCATGTTCAGAGCAACAAATAGTAGCCTTAGGCATAAGGGGAATGGAGGGAATTACAGGAGTCCATGGAGATCACAAAAATTCCCATGTCAAAATAAAATAAATGAAGAGCAAAACTAAAAAGAAAACAAAAGTTAAATAAAACCCAAAAGAAAAAAACAACACCATCACCAGTCTAGTGCTCTTCTTACTATATGCCTAGGCTGAGGCGGCAGAAATCAGAATATGCCTGCAGCCTGGCCTAAAGAGGGAGAAATTTCTATAAAAATCAGATCAACCAACAAAGACAAATTATATTATTAATGCCAAGTGACCCAACTGAATTCTGAGAAAGTCACACCTGAAGTAATTCTTATTAATTACACCTGTCAAGGAAGTGGAATCTGCATGACCTTGTACTGACTAGACTTACAGAGCACCTTCTAGGTGTGTCTACTGGGTTAGGAGCAAATCCCTTTGAATTCTTACCTGAATCTGCAATTACTACTTGGATCAGTGGCCCAAAGTTGTTCCCTTTTCCAGCCTCTCACTGAAGAAAGGTCAGGGCAAATCCCATCAATAACTTCCTTAGTATTCTTGGGATGATCCAAAGTACTCCTGGTTTTCTCCTGGTTTGCAGTTCTGGAAAAGACGTCAAGGAATCCTGGCTCCTTTGGTACATGATTCAATTACTTACTGAATTTTTCTTATCTCTTTTTTTTTCCTATTTTTTTGGGAGAACATTTTATTTTTGTTACTTGCACCCATAAATTGACTAGCAATTTAAACTAACAGACAAAATATTTAAAGCCTGAAGATTATCCATCCAATAGAGAGAGGTCTGAGGCTGTGCTGTGATGCACTAAGAAAGAGAAACTGGGCAGATACTGTGCGGACATTTTTAGTCTCAGCACTTGGGCATTGGAGTCAAAAGAATAGTGAACTTGAGATCAGGATAAAACAGTAATAATTTATGTTAAAAAAAGATTTTAACCTGTGTTGTGACACCTTGAAAATTTTGATGGTGGGAGATGGATCCCCAGTTTGCAGGGAGACACAAGAAATGGTTGTAGATTGAAATGGTAAGTCATTTAATGAAGTATGTCTAAACAATGATATTTTCAGAAGACTGTAAGTCATGCTTTTGGGGGAGTTTAAGTTTTAGTTTCTATTATAACCTCCCTGTTTACTTTGAAAGGGGCATGCATTCATTATTCACACAGTTCCTGAAATCTCTAAGCTGTGCCAAATGTTTTTTTTTTAATTTCATTTTCCTTTTTCATCATTCTTTTTCCTTTATGTCTTATTTTTTATTTTGGTGAAAATAGTTTCTCCCTGGGTGATTGTACACACTTTTAATCCCAGGACTCAGTAGGCAGAAGCAAGAGGATCTTTGTCAGTTTGAATCTCTGTCAGTTCGAGGCCAGCCAGGCCACCAGAGGCAGTCACCAAATCACCAAATCTACAAAAAACCCATATATATATATATATATATATATATATATATATACACACACACACATATTCATATTTCTTATGTAATGTAAGACACCTTGAATACCTGGAGATCTCCCTACATTCAAGCATTTGTGTAAATGTTGTCCTCAATTTTGGTCATAGCAGTCATTTTCAAAGACAGAAGCTATGTCTGAGTTTCAGCCTGGTTTGTTTGGGGGTACCCACTGGAACAATAACTCAAGCAAAAGCAACTCATTCTGGATACTGGAAAATCTGATTGACTACCCCACAATGCCAGTTCTCACTGTATATCCACCATTATTGAGTCCTCATTAGCATTACCTATACAGATTTCAGGGAATTTCCAAAACCAACTGCAGGCAAAGCACCCTGAGAAGTTGGGTAAAGAGGAGGACACTCTGAGTTCTAAGAACCTTGCTAAAGAGTTTATGTAAGAACTCTAGGTTTGGGATGCCATCATGAAAGGGCGTGGCAGGTCAAAGATTCTTCTCTTAAGCCCTGCCCACTTCTGGACAAGTTTATAAAAGGAGACTAGAGAGCCCTGGAGCTGAGTTTGGTTTTGCTTTGCGCCTTCATCAACGACCCTGAAGGTCTGAAGTCCTAATCTCCAGCTGACATTTTCACTCTGGTTAGGGCAACGGCCAGAGTGCCTTATATTTGAGTACCCACAAGGACTTTAAGCTATTAAGACAGAAAAGCTACTTTTTGTTTCCTCTGAGTCTGGATGATGACAGCAGACTGAATCTTTCCTCTTCCCAAAATTCTTCTGTTCTCATTGTACTGCCTCTACTTCCTGCCCTGTTGCCCTGCCTATACTTCTTGCCTGGCTACTGCTGGTCAACCAGCATGTTATTAAACAAGTACAAGAAACAATTTTTTACAGAGTAAAACCATTGTCCCATAGCACCCCCCACTTTTTTTTTTTTAAACAAGAACTCTGAATCCAATATCCTTTGTCCCGACCATTATTCATAACATCTTGTAGTCAACATTCTAAACAAAGATAAATATCCATAATCCATTTTTGGGGAATGTGGGCATAGTTTTCTAGGCTACTTCTTGCTGATTGTGGGTGCTGATAATCTTATGGGGACCTAAAGAAAATTTAAGACTATGGTCAAGTCCTGACTGGAAAATTCTGTGAGGCTTAATGATCTCAGCCATCAGTCTTGAGGCTGTTCTGGATGTAGAACTCAGACATCTGGGTCATCCACTTTTATTGACGATTCTTCAGGGGGGTCTTCCTTGATCAAACCTGATTTTTCTTAGCCCAGAATGAATCCACAGCCTCTCATTTCCTGTGTAAACAAAAGCAAAGCCTCTTCTCCAAACTAACATACCTTTTGACTTAAAATTTGAAGTCAAAGTATTTTCTAAATGCATGTGTTGGATTAATCCAGCAGCATTTATAATTAAATGTCTTTTAGAAGCTGTTAATCCTTCCTCAGCCATCATACAATTCAAAGATAACACAATAATATACAGTATCCAGACTCTCTGTGTATTTTCCATTTTCCATTGCTTTATTTTAAACTCCATTTCTTTTATTTTTATTTTTAATATTTGGCTTTTTGAGACAGGGTTTCTCTGTGTGTC